CCCTCCCGGCGATAGAACAAGTTGCAGGACTTGAGGATTACCGTGTCCTCCCCCTCTCTTCGGACCTCAGATAATCCAATAATATGCCAGCGCAACTTGTCTACCTCTTCTTCCAGCTCCAGTATCTTCTCGTCAGTCCTCAGGGTGCGTGCGTTATACGTTGCCAGGTCGAGTCGTCGTATGTGGCAACCGAACCTCCACCGGAGATTCTTAGCACCCCCTGCCCCGCCGTTACCATGGTCGCCACCGTAGCCAGGAATAGCGGGGCCGCCGGGGACTGGGGGCCGTTTATTTGTGTCGTTGCTCATGGGATATTTGCCATAGTTGCCACGCTTGGCGAGCGGGTTGGCAACCGCAGTTTTTTATTATGCTATTGCTGTTATTAGGAAGATGCTGCTGCCCATCTCCTTTCTGTGTCCCTCTGTCGCCTCTTACGACACCCACGGGAAGATATGGGGTAGTGGATATTCTCAACCGCCACTACACGACGTAATGATCGATACAACCAAATACCTAAATATCGCATTTTTTTCTGTCTCAACTATCCTCTTTCCATATAGTTCTAATTTAATATCCTGACGCCTAAAACCTCTACTAAAAATCATAAGCTAAGTTTTGGCGATAGAAACATAAGGCAGTTTACAAACATAAATTTCACAAGGACAAACATCCAGACCCAGAACAATTATTTGTAGGCCATACCCGCGGTCCCAAGCGCTATAACTCATTGCTAAGCCACGGTTGAGTTCGCGATCCGCTTCCTGCCATTAGGCTAGAGTAATAATACATATAAATATTAAATATTATCTGTCAGAACAAATATCAAATATTTATCATAATATTATCAAATATTTATCGTATTATCAAATATTTATCATATTATCAAATATAATATATAAATATATAACTCTAATAACTCTCAATAAAAATAAATCATACCTAAAACCATTTCAGTCCTTTTCTTTATAACTACAGGATTTGTTGATATCACAGGCGCTTGCATGCTTTCAACTGGATCTGAAAAATTAGTTAAAGTCATGCTTGCAACTGGATCTGAAAAATTAGTTAATTTTCTTTCAGCTTCTATAATTATTCCTTTGCTACTTTATGTAAATGTAATAGTTTTAGCCGCAATTTTACACAGGCGCTTGTGACAAATGAGCACACAATCGACTGGATGGTAAATGGATGTTGTAGTCCATAGACATCTACATTTATCCTCAATTAAAAAATCAAAATGCAATGCGTTGTCACCCCCGAGGACTAAGATGGAATGCCTTATTTCCAGTAAAAAAAGGGGTCTCCATGTTTCTACACTCACCATACGAAACACAGCAGCATTAAACTACTATATACTATACTAGAAGCTGGTATTCTGATGTGGAAGTGTGGTCCTACGGCGGTCAAGCCTACCCATTTGTGCTACAACCATTATTTAGCAGTAGCGTGGCTCTACCAAATATAGGTTTTAAGAATTTTATTAAAAACATAGAACCAAACTATTATATTCTATTATTTCATTTCACATTATATATCACATATATATATATCATATAAAAATATATATATATATATATATATATATATATATATATATATATATATATATATATATATATATATATATATATATATATATATATATAGATAATTCAAAAATGCTTTTTCACGATTATAAATTGAAACTGCCTAATGGTAAATGGCATCAAAAAATTTCTGACTAATAGTTTAATTAAAAGTAATAGACAGATCAAAATGTGAATCTCCTCTTGTTAACATCTTTACCAACATTACATGGCGACTGGCGATGCGCTGCAAATGTGCAAGTGCACAGTCACGGCCTGCATAGTTATTTAATTGTGAAAAAGCATGTAACTGTTATTTGCTTTGTTCAGTATACAGGTTATTGTTTAAAGAGTAGCCAAATTTTAAATTAAGTTCAAATATATAAATGATAAACCATTATTGCAGTTTTTGTAAATATGAGCAAGGCTTCTATTTTTATTTGCATTTATCCCAAATTGAATGTGACTTATGGGCTACCATGTTTTTGCCTACAGATTGACCCTTATAAATGAGTGCGTGCACAGTAATATCAGTTAAAATAATGCATTACCACACTTTTTGAATTTAAAAGATAAAAACAGAGGGGTGTTATAATTTGAACATTTGTATCTGTGTGTCTGTCTAAAGCATCATAGTGGCCAAACAGATGGAATATAATATAGCTTTTTTTATTGATGGGTGACTTGATCAAGAGATAAGCTATTATTCAAGAAAATCTGTTCAGCCATCTGAAGATAATCATCTCTTTTATTAGTTTTGAGGTTTATTAAAATGATATTAAAGTAATTTAACATGTACATAATTATGTTTGATTATTGCATTATATTTGTAGAGATTTTATTATGTTTATTTTATGGATTTTTACTTATCATATAACAATATGTAGTATATATTTTAGACTCTTATTTAAGTCAATCCAAATTTAGGAACTCATGTATTATCTCAACCCTTTCTACTGGAAACTTCTTTCTTTTTTTAGTTAAATAAATTAACATTTTTTCATATATCATATAAACAATGATGGAAGTATTAAAATATTAGTCCCCTTGAAAAGGTCACATACTATGTTCAGCTGTGGACTTGTGATGTGTTGTAATGATGATAATACATATATGATCATATATATCAGTACCTTTTGGTGTTGACAGTTCTGCTAGGTTCAAAATTCCTTTCATGGGTTTTCTTTTCATAACTGCTGATTAATTTGATGATGTAGCTAAAATAAAATAATAGGATTAACTTTGAAATTATTCATATATGGCAATAAAAGCAGGCCCAGTGCCTGTGATGACTTGCAAAAAGAAAAAAGTAGAAAAAGTGAGGTGATAACACATTACCAACTTAATATTTATGAATACTAGGCTTAATCATCATATCCTCATCCTTCTGTCAGCCGGAATCACTACATGTATTATCCTTTTAAGCTCTATAGTGCATATAAATAGTATATAATTTTATTCTATTTATTTAATGAATGAATCATTGTAAAAGTTAATGCTATTTAGGTACCTAATTAATTAGACATATTTCACAATGAAACTATACATATCATTAATAATATATTGTTCTGAATTAATTATATAACATATTTACTTTTTCTGTAATCTATAAAAACAAACCTGGCATATTCAAAGTTGGCACAGCAATGTTACTAATTCTGTTATTTCTGCATTGAAATTTTTCTTCAAAATGTGAGTGACACACACGGCGATACTTGAATATGTGCATATTTTCGAGGCCTATTAGATCACCGCCAATTGCATAAATCCATACCCTAAATCGTTCACTTTCCTTTTCTAGGTTTGGAAATCCGCGAAGAAATATTTAGAAGATACATTTAAAAAAAGTCATAATTAGTTAACACATATGCCCAAGACAAAAATAATACCCTTGATGCAAGTTGTTTGGAGACGAGATGACTTTCCCTTACTGTCCTTACATCCAGGGACACAGCAACGCTTATCTGACATAATTATTTAAATTATTTATTCTATGTAACAATGGAGATATCACTAAAAACAAATCGTTGGAAATGAAGTCAACATATAGCCAATTCAACATAAATAATATAATAAATAAAATAAAACAAAAAATAACATAAAACCACTTAAAGAAATTTTCATAAAATAGGAGCAACTCAACCAAATAAAATAAAATATTAGTTATTCGCAAATCCAATATCGAGAAACAAGTAAAAGACTTTTCCATAATGGCAGGTTGTTATTCTACCAGATTCAGTTTCAAAAAAATATCAAAAACATCTAGTTACTGGATTTTTTAATGAATAGTTTTACGAAAGCATATGTAATCAGCATTTATTTATAAGCAAATGTTAAAAAATTTTATCACACATTTTTTATTAATTTTAAACAAAAGCAAATATCTTAATTTCTGTTACACTCATTTTCTACTAAATAGAATTTTTTTAAACAATTTGTAAAGCTCCCTACAGGTAGTGGCGACATCTAGTATGTGATGAACGAATTATTCGTTTGAAATTGAGAACAGTGTAACCTATTATTGTTAGTTGGAATAATACGATTTTATAATACGACTAAAATAAAAAGTAGTCAATATATATGGTTTTAAATAGTTTACTAAGTGCGTCTTAATTTTCCATAATATTATTTTATAGTTTTCCAAGTTTTATGTTCTAAGACTAAGATTGTAGAGCCTGCGGAGAACACAGCAGTGAAAACACTGACAATTGGCGGCATAAATGACTATCGAGTTTTGTATTAATTCTTATCTCATTATCACACACACACACACACACCTATTTCCACCCTCACTCCCATCACTCACCCCACACACACACACACACACACACACACACACACACACACACACACACACACACACAATCACTTAAAAAACGAGCGCTTAAAATATAATTTTTAATTTTGTATTCGTATTTCTATACCTGTTTAACTAACTATAATTTAGTTTTTTATAAGGTACGTGTGGGTAATACGGTCACCGTAAGCTTTGCCGCCCTATAAAATATAAAATCGAACGAGGATAGAGACAAAAACACAAAGTCGTATAATATAACTAATATATTAAGAAAATAATAGAAAGCAAGTTTTGTCATTTCGAAAAATCAACTTAAAAAATCTGCACAATACTAAAATCGACAAAAAAAATTTAAAAATTTCGCATCTATCATCATCTATGCAAACAAGACTGTAGTGTTCGCGTAATAAGAATGTGACCACATTAACCGGATGACGATATTACCATGTACTATACTATAAATTATTATTATATACTTAGAAATTTACCTTTTGACTAGGCTGTAGACCTGAAAAATATATACCACAGAATAAATAACAGTAACTATAGTTACACTAGCCTAGGGACCATGGAGTCAAGAATTTATGTAACAAAGTTTGTGTTATAAAATAAATAAAATAAAAAAATGTTTACTTTAGCGCAACGACTTACGTCGACCTGGCGATTGAGCTGGATAGAGAGAATCATGCTTGTGCAGCCTTTAGATACGTCCGTGTACTGAGAAATATTCGCTTCTTGAAGAAACTCCATGAATTCGGTTCAGCGGAACGCGTTGTCACCATTGGGTAAGTTGTTTGAACACTGCTAATTCAACAGCATTGAATATACATATATTTGATGACGTGGTAGAGATATTGTGCTTACAGCACGAATGAGTCGGCTCGACCGACTCTTTTTACCCTTTTTACTGAAAACGAGGCATTCCCTCTCATCCCTCAGGGCTGGCAACGCATTTGATTATTAATTTTCGATAAATTTAGATGTCTATGGGCCACAGCGTCCACTTACCATCAGATGGCTGTGTGCTCGTTTGTCACCCTTATTCGATAAGAAAAATATATTTATTTTTCATTCATTAATTAATGAGTCACAAGTCTTCTTCATCTCACAAGTCTACTGCTGAGCAGTCTTCCCCCAAGAAATGCCACAAAGCATGGACCTAAGCCACCTGCATCCATTGACTTCCTGTAAATAATAATTACACACACACACACACACACACACACACACGCACACGCACACGCACACGCACACGCACACGCACACACGCACACATGCACACGCGCACACACACGCACACACGCAAACACGCACAGACACACACACACACACACACACACACAATTTTTTATATATATATATATATATATATATACGTATATTTAAATCGTAAAAAAAATTTTCGCAGCCTGATAATTGATGCTCGTGGTGCTTTGGACGAACTACACGAGCAGTGCGTTTTCGCTATAACTGACTACAATCGTACGTTGTCTAATATTCGTCAGTGGAAACAGCTGTATTACTGTTTTGAGATGGAATTCGATTTCCGCAGGAAGTAAGTTATTTTTAGATTTTTTCAATGTTTTACAAAATGCACAAAATTTAGATAAATATTTACTATTTTTTTTGCTTTTACATTGACTTATTATGAAATTAAATGCCATTAATTTGAAGTAAACTTTCGGTAATAAAAAAGTAAACAAAAATTCTGAACTCAATAAATAAGTCAATTAAAAACTATCGAAATTAAAATAATACGCACCCAATTAGTAGTATTTATTGATAGATCAATTTCATAATTATTTTATGGCTATGTAAATGTAAAAATAAAATTGTAAAATCATCGGTTGCATTCAACGGTTACATCCTATTTTTCTAGACAGTAAAAAATCACTCAGTAACGTAGATATACGTGGTGGCCATACTGTAAGTGCTAGTTGTCATTGTGGTTATAAGACGAATCAATTGCATGGTATAATTTATATTATATACAGAGTTATTTTTAATTTACTGAGTCCTTTTGGGAATATATTATTTACGAAAGTAAGTAAGAAAAAAATATATATTTCTTCAATTTTTATTTTTATACCAAAATATAAATATTAATTGGATAAATTTTAATTGGACCTTCTAAATGGAAATATTCCTATATATAGTAGGTATTAGCAAAAAGGTAGCGCGTGGCAGGGTAGGGGTGGAGGGGTATAAGAAGCATATAAATTCGACCTGATTTCCTCTTCCTGTGCCATCACCTCGTCAGCCGCTTGTCACGCGCCCGCGGTGGTTCTCGTTTGTTTAATATTGTGAGATTTAATATTTCGAAAGGTAACTATTATTTATTCTGTGACGTTACATTGAGACGACTGCTTACCGAATATTAATTACTCAAATGTTCGTATACTGAAATATAAAGTCATTTAACGTGGCGCCTGGTGCAATAAGCACAGTGGTGAATGGTTGCGGTGCAATCGGACAAGCGCAGCATTACCTATTATAAATTTTATATTTGTGATTTTTATTGAATTGAATTAAGAAACGGAATTCCGCATGTATGAGAATTAGTTTTTTCGTAAATGTATTACATTCTGTAAAGAGTGATCTCGTTAAAATTGTGTGTAATGAAGCAACCAATATATTCCCAAAATGTCTTTAGTATATTGAAAATGACCCTGTGTGTAAAAAAGAAAGATTTTTTTAAATCTTTATTTATTATAGAATTTAGATCGATTTAGACAGATTTCACGTAAACAAAAGATTACCTGTTCATAATATCTAATAATACAAGTTTATAAAGTTTCCTAGCTTTATCCGACAATGGAAAAGCTGGAATACTATTATATAGTCCAACACTATTTTTGTCAAAACCTAATTCGAAATTTTATTATCTACAATAAAAGTACATAGTTTCCGAGATCGGCTGAAAAGATTTTTTCAAGATGGCGCTTGAAGCGCCACCTGGATCTCAGCATTTTTTGATTTTATGCTCGGTAAGTGATCCTAAACCTTATAAAAAACAAAAATTGGATCGGATATTTAGTTATAAGTTAAATTCTATTTTTACTGCACTAGTTAGTTAGTTGCCGTTCATATCCAAGCGGTAGATCGCGCTTCCGTTTCCGATAACGGTATTATTAGTTCACAAAACTAATTGTTAGATGACTCTGCTTATTGCACTATGGCCCCATTAATCTACGACGTATAGATGAATATTATGATCTCACATATAAATATAAATTAAAATTTAATTTAAAAATATTGTAGAATTTTCTAATTTTAGTATTTTTTTGCAAATTGATCGAGATTCCATTCCACAGTGCACATAAACGAAAATTTTGATTTCGAAAATCGGTATGAATAAGAACTTTTCATTCGATAAGGTTTATATTTATAAACTAAAAGTTTGAAATATAATTTTAGAAACGAACGAAATTAAATTTTTTGATTTTATCTACTTTTTTTAATCGAGCGCGGCTTTTGATAAATTTTTAATTCTAAACGGAACAACGTGTGTCTGCCTCAGTTGTTATCTTTAACTATCTACCTTATATACCTGCACTGTTTTAGATTGGTAAAAAGTAATTTTAATAAACGATTGTAATTCTTTCGCAGGATGGACGCGGGGGCTTTTTATCCCACACTATACAGCGACTATCACACTAGGGTATATTTGCTAGAATTGGGCAAATTATGCCTATTAAGGAAGCGTAATCGCTCCCTTTATATGCATGTCATGTGGTCCGACATGTAAGTATTTTACTTTCTTATTATTATTATTTTATTAGTATTGTTCTTATTGTGTCTAATTGACACTACAAGCCAAGCTTAGTGCGTCACAGGTAAAACTTCGTCTTACCTTCTTCAGTCGCAGTAACAGTCACAGGGACTCTTACTGCGGCTGCCTTAAGACTTTTACTGAACATTTACAGGCTATCCCCATAGATTGCATCACAGGGGAGATATTTACCATAGTTGCCATACTCACCAAGCGGGTCGGCGTCTGCGGTTTTTTATTTTAATCGTTATCAGGAAGATGCTGCTGCCCATCTCCTGCGTGTTTCCCTCTGTCGCCTGTTACGACACCCACAGGATGATACGGGGTAGTGGATATTCTTGAACCGCCACTACACGGTAGGTACGTCGTACATTCGTCTCCTGTAAATTAAATAAAAACTATCACATCTATTACTATTTTGTATATTCGACATATAGCGATGTCTAGCTTCGTAGACTTCTAGACACGGTAATTTGCTCAGTACTGGATGAAGCAATAACATGTCAGGTGTGGCGGGGAGCGAAAGACAGGGTCCAACGCTAATCCCGCGCGCTTTACGATAACAAGTTTAGACATAAATTGGTTAGGTCCTGAGGTTATCCTGCCGAATAATATTCGGCCGAATATTCGGTTCGGTAAAAATTTTACCGAACATTCGGCCGAATATTCGGTGAAATCCATATTCGGCCCATCCCTACTTAATATATATAAACTACGTGTCACGTTGTTTATCCGCGATGGACTCCTAAACTACTTAACCGATTTTAATCAAATTTGCACACCGTGTGCAGTTTGGTCCAACTTGAGAGATAGGATAATTTTATTGCACACAATTTTTTTGCGAATATAAGGATTTTTAATACGACATGACAAATTGTCGTCGAAAAGGGCAGAACAACGTCTATCTGTCAAGCTAGTAGACGTATATAATGTGTTAATGTGCTTACACGACGCCCGCTCGCGCCACACCATGTATTGCCGTGTAAATTCCCCATAAAATTAAATTTTATATAATTTTTTGCGAATTTTCAAATTGACATATTTGAAAATGATAAATACACTTTTCATGTTAAAATGAAACTAATAATTATTTGTAGATTAGAAGACATTTACTGTGGAGTCATCATCAGTCATCAGTCCCAGGGGTCCACGTGCGGCGAAGTTCATTAAAGAACTATATTTACGACTCGTCATCATAGCTGGTCATAAGAAGGTTGGGTCTTTTCTCGCTCAAAGGCTAAACATAGCCATTTATCGAGGAAACTTAGCGTTCTTGGCACGATGCCACGGGGAATAGGACTGTATGATAATTTGATTTTTTAACCGACTTCAAAAGAAGGAGGAAGGTGAAAGAAATTTCTAATTCTAATTCTTTTTTTTATTTCAAAGCTGGTGCTTCTCATATAAATTTAATCAAGATCTGACAAGGAGTTTTAGTAATGCGTATTTAATTGACTTTACTTTGACCCATTTTATTTATATTGAATTCGGTTGTACAAAATTTTTAATTTTACCACTTGTTAGTTTTAGTTCTATTATTATAGTTTTTTTTTAATATATTGTTTAACTTTTTCTAATCGAATGATAGTCATAAAATTAGATAGAGATCAGGCGCAGGACCAACTGCTTAACGTGCCTCCCGAGGCATGGGGCTAAATGAAACACCGCCACTTCCCGACTCCGGGCTGTTTACTATGTAATGTATTTCTTGTCAGATAAACTCGATAACTCATTTTGGCCTGATCCGGAACTGAACGATCAGCTATCGTGATAACGACCACAGGACAAGCGAGGCAGTCATAATAAAATTATTCATTTACGATTAATGCTTTTTGTTTTTGTGCAGTTTTGTAATACAGTGGCAACAAGCGGAACATCTGCTGCGCAGCTGCTACTCCCTTCGCCCGCGTAACAACCAAGCCACAGCAGTCCTGCAACAGTGGAGGCTGCACCATCGCTTCTGCTACGATGACTTCCTGGGTGCCCACGCGTAAGTTTCATCTTAGTTCTTAGTCATCAGGTATTGCAACCCATCTGCATTTTTAAGCTATTGCATAGCTTCTATCGCGGGCCTTGAGCGCGGGGACCGAATCCAGAAATTCCGTAACGAAAAAAAACCTCACGCTCCCCACTCCGACGGGCACGGAGGTGTGGCGTTGAAAGCCGTGCATCGTCTAACGTCGTTTCAGTTCGGCAGACTTCGGCACTCGGCAGACTTCGGCACGGTGTTTGTGTGCGTGCGACTAGACTGCTAACTCAATGATAAAAATTCCTGAATAACCTACATGTATTGTAAGATATTAAAAATATTTTAAACAATATTAACTTCTCATTTATTCAAGAAGAGAAAAAAAATTGTTTTCTTATCGGTCACCACGCTCAAAAAGTGTAACTTGATTTAATATCAAAGACTTAACTGCATAAATAAAATAAATAAATAATTGTAATTGCATAAGTTGATAAAAAATGCTATGCAATAGCTTTACCGCGGCAGTCTCCTAGTGCCACAGGTATTTTTAACTTATTGTATATTCCCGACGTTTCGAGCACTTTACAGCACCCATGGTCACCGAGGGGACTGAGGTGTTCGACGTCCAGATGTCATAGTTAACTACAGCTACCACCAGATTGAAAGTTATTTTTTTTTCCGATCTACGTAGTGTGAACGTATAGTATCTTGAAGTCTTGCAGTTGTATGTGCTTGGGTTGGGATTTACTTGTATAATTTTATTAATTTATTAATTCAAGTAAAAAATTAATAATTTTATTAACAAAATTAAATTAATATATAAGTATATAACATATACGTGAATAAATCCGTAAAAATTGGCACTATGTGCTTGTTACATTTATTCTATAAAAAAATATTTCTAGAAAAGAGGCCAAAGACACGTATTGACAGTTACAGTAAAATTAAAATTCGAAGAGTGCGCGAAGGCAATTGTATGACATGATTCCTCCCCATCCTCTTAAATTGTCTAGTACAGCCAATACCACCATTGGAATTTTAAGTGCTAATAAAGAAGTAAATGTTTATTTGTAAATTTTATTTATTAATTTTTATTTTATAGAAATGGGATGATAGGCGCGGGCACGGTCCACCTGATGGTACTACATCTAAAATGCATAGGTATGTTTTGTCAAAAGCTAGGACTGAGATGGAATGCCTCGTATACAGTAAAAAGCCTCTCCGCTTCTCTACACTCACCATACAAAACACAGCCGCCATTTTACGCTGGTATTCAGTGAGAGCGTGGTCCTTCCCCAGCTGATTCGACCCATTTGTGCTACAAATGAATATAGCTGATGAATGTCTGTACTGCGTGATATTTAACATATTATAATTTAATATAATATATAAAATGTAGTACTATAGTAATAATATTGTTGTGTAGCACGCCGAGTAATTTGCGGAAGTCTGATTTGTACCGCGTGCGTTGCGATTTCGTGGCAACTAGCTACTTCCGGGCGTTAAACTCATGGCGTCTGTTGAGGCAACTCAGTCTCAGTTACAGCAGCGAGCTTACCTGGGCAAACACGTAAGTTTATATTACACCTTTAATCTTAACTTCTCCAGGGATGTTCGCGTGTAGACTGCTCTTATACTACTATGCCAAAGCGGTGCATACCTTAGTTTCGCAGAGGTCTGGGCCAGCTCTAGTAACATCCTGAGGGCATTTGATGAAAGGTTCGATTATACGTACTTGAACCACTGCCGTATGGTTTATGTGAAGTCAAATCGTTTTATTTTTATAGAATAAGGGTGACGAACGAGCGCACAACCAACCTGATGGTAAGTGGATGCTTTGGCCCATAGGCACCTAAATGTATCCTCAAATATGAATCAAAATGCAGATGCGTTGATGATGCGGTATTAACATCAATGCCGAGTACATCACTCACCTTCGATTTGCCGACGATATAGTCCATATGGCAGAATCGCTGGAGGACCTAAGCGGCTCAATGCTCAATGACCTTTATAGTGTCTCTCAACGGATAGGTCTTAAGATGAACATGGACAAAACAAAGATCATGTTTAATGTCCATGTTACACCTATGCCGGTAGTTGTTGCGAGCACTTAGCTCAAAGTTGTTGACCTGACGTTGACCATTAAGTCCAACTTCAACGGAGAAGTCAATAGTTCTCTGCGTTTTAAACTTTGAAATGAGGATATCCGCAGTAGACCAGAGTGACCGACAAAGCCAACGTATTAACGATGACGATTAACCGACAAACTATGGGGAAAAAGTGCTCGAGTGGCAGACTCGTACCGGTAGGCGTAGTGTAGGGCGACCCTCCACTAGATGGAGTGACGACCTGGTAAGACATGCAGGAAGTAGGTGGATGCAGGTGGCTCAGGACCGTGCTTTGTGGCATTACTTGGGGGAGGCCTATGTTCAGCAGTGGACTTGTGAAGGGCTGTAATGATGACTGGGAACGTCATTTTCGTAAATTAGTATCTTAAGACAAACCGTGAACTGCACTCTCGCTATGGTTATCTCTTTCAATTCATTGCCAGTTAAACATTGGATGTTGTATAGAATGAAATAAATAATATTTTATATATTGCCTGAATATTTTAAGTAGGTATTCTATACAATACCGGATTATATTGATTGGCGGTAACATATTATATGTACGTTTTTATACTTATTTTGATAACGGGTTGCCGTTACATGTATTTATTGGATTTATATAGATATAAAACTTACAGAGACAACAGAGATAAATAACGTTCTTTTACTCGAACGATTTAATTTAATTTATGCATCGTTATGCAGGATGAGGAACCAATATACGGCGGGGTACTCCACACTCGCTGCAACCTACTTCGGGCAGGCCATGACTACACTGCGAGTATTGCAGCAGCTTCATCAACTCAGCCACAACGAAATCATGTGGGCCAATGCGTAAGTTTGCTCCAAATGTTACTGACCAACTCTAACTCTGAATAATAATAATAATAAATCATTTTATTTTTTCTCATCGCAAAGGTGTTGGCGACTCGCCTATTAGAATATTTCAGTTTATTAAGTCAACCGATGACGAATAACTTCTCAAAGGCATATTGTCCAATAGCAAGGTTCTGATAAGAAAATGCTTAGTTAAATCTTGAAGAAATGTTGAATTAATGATATGAAGGAGTCTTGGGTTCGACTCCCAGGCCGGACTAGTTTATTGTTTTCCTAAATAATATCGCTTAATAAATTCATAAGGAATTTAAGATATAAATTATGTTACCGGATTGTTTCCCCGGTTGAAATCATCTTTCCAATGATGTAAATTCAAAGGAATATTTAAATAAAGATCGGATTTGTTCCCCGGTCGAGATGATCACTCTGTGCATAAATAGAATTAACGGAAATTAATCGCATAAATATTGTCTTATATAAGTTTGATATGTTTTGTACGAAAACAAATGCCTATTTATCATGATTGATTTATGAGAACATTCACTTATATTGTTTGATAAGAAACATGATATCTGATAAGAATCTGATTAGAAATAGTTTCCTACAGTTTGAAAATTGTGTAGAAGCATTTATTCACCCAATATTGTTAAAATTGGTGTATATCAGACTTTCATTTTTTCTGATAGCCGAGAGCCGTGCAAAAGTTAGTTGTTCAAATAGTGTGAGTTCATAGACGCACGCTAGCCACGTACTTAGGAGGCCAAATATGTAAAAATTTAAATATTTGTAATTTCAGCAATTTATGTAAAAATGACTTGTAAAACATTTTAGGTTGATTGTACGTGCTAAAAAGGTGAATTCTGTGTTATTTTTATGTGAAAATTCCTGTGTATAAGTGAAATAATGATAGTTTTGTATAAGAAATTTAAAAGTGTTTTAATAGTGAAATAAATAGAGAAAATGTAAATTAAACTATTGTATTAGTTAACATATGTATAATTTCAAGTGGAAAACATTGTTTTAACTTTCTATGTTAAATATTTAAGAAATTTCGAGTTTGAACTTGTGAGTAAAATAGGCATATTTGGTTAAATAAATAATAGGTTTTTCGTGATATAAAAATGTAATGTATATCGTAGTGTAGATATTGTTTTGTGCTATCTATACAGGTAAATTATGTTGATGTATGACTTATGCAAATAAAGTAATTAAGTAAAACGTGAGAGAATAATAGAACAAATTCATGTAATTGAGTTGCGCAAGCGCGCGAATGGCGCGGCTCACTTTCGCGTATAGCTCTGGGGTAGCTTAGTAAATGAGTTTTATTGCAATTCGTTCGGGGAAGTTCGGAGAAACTTCGGGAAAAGTGCAAGACCAGCAGTCAATAAGAAGAGTATAGGGAAGTGATAGGGAAAAAGTGATTACTCTCTGACGGAACGGTTTGAAGATAATTGCTGTTTTATTCCCAAGTAATTCATCCCTCAAGATTATACAGTCCACATCGAAGAATTAAGGCGTTGGGACCGGGACGACTTCGGAAGACCCGTAATCCCCGTCTGACCCTACTCGCTGAAAAGGAAGAGGTTATCGCCCTTGTGTGTTACTCCGTTGCGGAGATCACATACGTTGTTCCCGAACCCAGCGTAGGCGTTATAGGAGGCCGGATCGAGAGAAGCCTCGATTCCTCCCTTCTGTTTCTTAATCGAACGTTTAATCCCCGTTGGTCCTTTTCAATCGGTCCTTCGCGGCCGGGTCAAGAGGACCCCCGAACCTGGGTTCCTTTTCAATTGGTCCTTCGGAGCCGGATTAAGGACCACCCGAACCCCGCCAGCTGGATCAAGGAACCAGCTGTGGACTGCTGGTTGTGGAGAAAGAAGACCTTCGGAACCGAGTGAAGATCAGCAACCGAAGGAAGCCGGAGGTTTGAGCTGAAGCAATAGGACCAAAGGCCAGAAGACCAGGTCATCAGCACAGAAGGACTGGACCTGGAACTACCGGAAGAAAGAAAACCGGAATTGCGGCTTGGGACGTGTGCTCGCATGAGTATCGCAGCCAGGCGCAGGTGCCTTGTGAAGGCGCTCATCGTGGCCAAGCAGGGCTTGGCATTTTTCCTGTCGGGCAAGCGTGCTCGGCATTTCCTGTCGGACGACCGTGTCTGGCATTTCCTGTCGGACGACCGTGTCCGGCATTGCCTGTCGAGTCATCAGGGTGCAAGAAGAAGCATCCACCGCTGCTGCTGCCAGGCGAGGGTGCGCGTGGGCACCTGACTGCATCGCGGCCGGAGGAGGGCGCTTGGACGCGGCGTCACCGGCAACTGGGCGGTGAGCACAGCATACATCCCGACCACCTAACGGTGCCAAACGGTCGGGCTCTGGCACAACCTTCGGGTGGAGCAGTTCTCTCGAGCGAGACTGCGCTTGCACTACCGCTCGACTGTTTCGTCATATTCCTTGGCGGGACAGTTCCTAAACCTTTCCTCCATTCCATTCCTGCACGACTCCATCCCTGGACGGCTCACCTCGGTAGGCCCCGTTCAGGATTGATAGGGCTGATAGGGCTGTTAGGGTGGTAGTAGGGTTGTAGGGTTGGGAGATAAGGGGGGGGAGGGGTAGTGGTGTTAGGTTGGGGTGTAGAAGGGTTGTAGGTAAGGGACAGTTAGGGACCGTAGGCCAACAATCACCTTCCTGCAAGATGAAGAAGGCACCAGACCAGACAGAGAGGAGCGAAGGGAGCAGGACAAGAACAGGGCTCTCAAGAAAAGCTAAAGAGGCGGAATCATCTGGAGCGACCACAGCTACTGCGTCAAATGGAGCAACTCCTTCAAGTGGAGCCACCACCGACACGTCCACATGCACGTGGGACTCAGGGACGTCCATGGCAACGACAAGCAACAGGACGGACACCAGTGGTACGCAGGCCAGCACCGCACAACAATCCGTTATATCCAGGAGTGAAACGGTGGTCGAAAAAGTAGGTCAGAGGACCGAAGAAGCGGCATCGTCAAGGACAGTAATTGGGCACACTAGTGACAAAGGATCACAGAGAGGTAGTAGGTCATCGCGATCGGCGAGGCTGAAAGCCGAATTAGAGGCGCGGATTAAATTCGAACGCTCAGAGCTCGAACGAGCACAGGCAGCTGCTGCCTTAGCCAAGTCTCAATTGGAGTTGGCACGACTCAACCGAGAAGAGGAGATCGACTCGAGTGAGGATGATGAGGAGCGGAATACTCAGGTGGAACCTTTCGTAAGGAGTTGGGTTCAACAGACCATAATGAGCGCGCCGGTTAGTGTGACGCAACCCGATATTACTGATAAGAAGCGTGTAAAGGATCACCCGCAAAGGGGCGGAGATCGAGCGCAACCAAGGAAATGCACAGAAAACACACGCGAGTGAGGTGTCAGAATTGACCGAAGCGATTGTGAGTGCAATAAAGATAGCGGGAAAAGATAAGTCTTCCCAGCTTCATTTCCTCCAGGAATTACCGGTGTTCGATGGAGACCCGGGTGAATGGATAATTTTCAAAACGGTGTTTGAAGACACAAGAAGCCAATTTTCAGGGGTGCAGAATGTCGCACGCCTTAGGAGGGCATTAAAGGGCACCGCTAAGGAGGCGGTTAAGTCATTGTTATTTACTTTGTGTGAACCTGAAGAAATAATGAACGCTCTCGAGAGAAGATTCGGTAGGGTTGAGATGCTCATTCTAGCCGAAATTGAGAATGTAAAGCGTATGCCAAGATTGGCAGAAGATTGCCTTCTCTTTCTCTCTGATCTTTTGCAAGTCGTATTACGAACGTGGTTGCCACGATACAAGCGTTGAATCAACCACAGTATTTATACTCACCGGAGTTAGTAAACCGCATAGTGGAGAAACTCGGAACTATGATTAAATTTAAATGGTTTGAATATCGAGCTCAGTATCCTTTGGAGCCAGAGTTACAGAAGATGGCCAAGTTTTTAAATTTATTGAGTGAACAATTTGGAACGTCCTTAAGCAATGAAAATGCGCCTGAAAAACGGAAGCGTCCTGAATTCAGGAAGCAAACTGTACACACTGCAAAGGAATGTGTACGCAATCGTGCCAAGAGCGAGCGCTATGTGCGCCGAAGTAATACGAGCGAGCGTCTAGAACGCCGAAATAATAAAGGGCAGAACCGACAAGTGGTTATGATAACCCAGGATAAGCCTGTAAGTCGGGTAACACATAAGTGTGTTATATGCAACAAGGAGCACTCTATAGTGAGTTGTTACAAGTTTAAGGACATGAATATTCGCGAGAAATGGGACGTGGTCAAAAAAGCGAAAGTATGTTTCCAATGTTTGTCACCTAACCATAGGAGGTTAGAGTGCAAAGCGAAAAAATGTGGTGTAAAGGGATGTAGAATGTCACATCATCGAATGCTACACCGATACCCCAATGAAAATACCTCGCCACAAGGGAACGAGGGGGCTAAAGAGGCTCAGATTACAACTGTTAGTACAGTGAATGCACTGGCATGTGCATACTTAAAGATTATACCGGTCGAGTTGTATGGACCTAGAGGAAAGGTCAAGACAACAGCTCTTCTGGATGAGGGATCGACCATGACACTCATAGAGGAGTGGATGGCTCAGAATTTTGCGCCTCGCGGACGTAAAGAAGAATTACGTATCGAAGCCGTGGGAGGTAAGCGAATTAACGACGACAGTTCGTATCGCTTAAACGTTAAGATAAAAGGCATTTACTCGAATGACTTAGCAGAGATAAGTGTACAAACAATTAAGTCACTTAACCTTTCTCCTCAGTCAGTAAGCCGAGAATTATTACAACGGTGTTCTCATTTGACACCGATTAAGGATGAGTTGATGTATGAGAGGTCCAGACCTACCATATTAATTGGACAGGACAATTGGCATCTCATAGTTACTCGTGAATTAATTTCAGGAGGTAAGAACCTACCTGTAGCATCGCTCACCAAACTTGGATGGGTTTTACATGGTCACATATCGGGTGGTATTAA